ACAATTGTTGTGAAAGAAGATATTGCCCATTGCAAGAAAAGAAGCAAAATAGCAATGATAGCAAATAAGCTTACTTCTCTCTCATCAACCGTGGAGATGAATTATGTTATACTTTTTTGTATAGACTAAAGACTTTTATCAATCAAACAAGTTTGACGCTGGTAAGAAAACGACGCACATCTGCATTCAAATATGTGTAGCCGACATATAACTCTTTCGTCAATAGTTATAAATGCACCCAATAGGAGCAGATAACTGACAACCACAGTTGACTCGATGTTATGAATTCGATGTATATAATTTTTTACCTTGATTTTCATGAAAAAATTGCTTGCCGAATCCCAAACATACATATCCATTTTCCTTACTCTTTCCTCAGGAGGGAGTGGGAAATTGTAAATTTTTGGAAAAGTGGTCAATTTCGGTAAATCTCAGCGTCAAAAGATAAAATCCGCCATTTTTTGGCGTTATCACACATCTACGGCCGCGCTTGAGATAGCCGCTCCAGTTATTATAGAACTCGATGGTCGGCACTAGATCATGGTTAACTTACACACGCGCCCACATATTATTCTTATTATGTCAGCGGTAAGTAACAATTGACGAATATTCATGTTTTCCTTAAACGAATGACTTTTACCGCACTACATATTGCGCTTGCTATGGCAATAAGGCAAATTGGCAATAGAGAAAGCGAGAAAAGATTATAAATGTCTCAATTCATTTTTGGTCAGATATACTTTTTTTGAAATGTCTGCCTTGCAGAAATAATGGTTTGACAGTACTTTACAATATAATAACCGCACTTGATAATATGAGAAACGCGACTTGCAGAATCACTCGACCTAAGGAGAACAATGCAATGATATATAGTTTAAATGGACTGCATTTGTATTATAGATATAATATTAAATATTTTCCTGTTACTTGTAGTACTAAAATAAATTATCATAGATACAACATACATGATAAACGCACCCATCTAGATTCGTATTTTCAATTTTTTTCCCAAACTTCCTGCATTATAAAACCAAGTTTGTGTGTTTAATGTGTTTCACCACTTGTCCGTACATGCTTGTAATTTTCTGATTTGATTTAATGCATATGTGTGGTAACTTTTATAACTTTGTTAAAATTATTGCCTGGAAATTTTGAAAAGCCATTATCTCCAGCAGTGCCATCCACACAGTGAACTGCAGTCTAACGTAAGTGCTCATTAAATGAAATGGATGTTTGTCAATTGAGCATATTCATTTATCACGAAAAATAGATAGATGATCATAGTAAGGTGCAGCCTGATTGAATGTTGAGTTGTGGTGTCAGTCACAGTAGCTAATTTATATATGTTCCTGAAAATACTTTACAATAAGAAAAGGTAACAATATTTCTTAACATGTAACACTGGGTGTTCTTTACATTCATCTCTGGCAAAAATTTTCACATTGAATCTCTAAGCACTAAAAAATATTCTATTATGGAAAAACAGATTTTTCAGAAAAATCTCTGAGCATATGATTCCTTCCATTGTCAAAGGCTTTTTGAACAGTTTAAAAGCCTCCACCTGCTTTTGTTATGGTTGTGGCATAGACCCAAAGCTGTGGAACATAACTTGCCTTACATGCACATCTCTCAAATAGTGACATGTAATTGTAAAATCATTGTATGATGTCATTATGTTTGCAAACAATATTACCACTTAACATGAATAAGATTGTTTATCAATTTTATAAACTAAAAATCGGCTTTGTCAAGTTGTGGTGCTCTGTCCTCCACTTTGACCATCTCATCATTTCATAAAGAATACGACATTCCAAGTAAAAACATCAAGATGGAAACGCCAAATCATTTTACTGTAAAAAGCTCATCATCCACATATCAAGTTTTTCTGAGATCAAACGACCAAAAGATTTCTTGCCAAGGTCTTCATTACAGGAGTCGGAAGATGCCTTGTAAAAACATCTGTGCTGTTGTTCAACAACAAAATGTTGGGTGGGAATCAATTGATGTAAATTTTTCCAATCATCTGCTATTTACTTTAGATCCCCATATAATTCGACCAAAAGCCAATATAAGCCCAACTCAGACTTTTATCAAATATTAATCACTGCCAGGAAACTTTGCGTAATGTCCTAATTATGAAAAAGCTCATTCTTCTAACTGTTTTCTTACAACAACGGATTATTGCTCCAACTCAATCCAAAATGTTAGAAATAAAGTGTGTTCAAAAAGTCAAACAAATTCATTATAAGCTTTAGATTTTGGATAATGAGAAAGTTTTGGACAAAACCCTGGAGATGTTAGAAGAGGTAATACAATACACAAGAAAAATCATCCTGAAGAAAATGGAATTTCATTGAAAAACATTTCTTTATCCTCAAAAAGAAACAAATTTCAAAGTGTAGGTCACAATCTGCTTTGCTAATACGAAAATACAAGAGGTGTCCAGTTAACTAGTGGGAAGAGCAGCTTATTGAAAAAGTTAAGATTGAAGTATATGAAGAGAAGCTTGGAAAACAAGAGAAGCATGAGAAACGCAAAGTACAAGTAATTAATGAGCAACTAGTAAAAAAGATGAAACTGAACAACATTGAGGAAATTAAAAATTCTGAGGAGTGTTAGGTAGATATTCAAGGAAGAAAGTTTTCATATGCTCAGAAAGACGTGCTTCTAAATTTAATGGATGGCTTTCAGATGAACATTTTGCTGCATTACAAAAAATGAATAGGTGATCTTGGTGCCGATGTGGGAGGTCACAAGAAAAATCATCCTGAACACAGTTGTAGCAGTCACATACAGCGACAAATTCATAAATATTCCTGAAAATATCACCATGCAATTCAATGTCACAATATTGGTCACGACTGGGTGGTTTCTAAATCTATAACTGGTGAAATAGTAGTCTTTGAATCTATGAGTACCAACCTGAATTCATCATTAAAAAGGCAATTTCAGAATGTTTACAAAAACTTTCAAGAATAGGATGGTTCTTTAAATGTCAAAGTAATTCTCCAACAACATTAAAACGATCATAAGATTGTGATCTTTTTGCTGTGGGAAATGCTGTTGCATTGGCTAATGATGTGAACCCTAGCTCTGTTACCAAGCTGCAGGAGAAAATGCGAGTGCATTTGGTCAAATGCTTAGAAGAACTTCCAAAATAACTTCTCGAATTAGTGTTCTTTTAAACTCAAAATATACCATACGCAAAGTTGCTCAAGTAATTGGCTTGCTAGTTTCTTGCTCTCCTGCAGTAAGATATGGCGAGTGCCATTACAGATCAATTGAGAATGACAAAATACAAGCTCTGAAACAATCTCAAAGGAATCTTGATATGTGCATGGCTTTATCCTCTGAATCAATTGGCGAATTAAATTGGTGGCGATCATCACTACCAAATGCAAAGTATTTCGTTCATACTCTGGCGATAGATGTAGTAGTTCACTCAGATGCCTCACTTTCCGGTTGGGGTGGTGTATTGTGGAACCAGAAAATTTGTGGATTTTGGACTAATTCGGAAAGGTCAAAGCATATCAACTATCTAGGACTTCTAGCTGCCTATTTTGTTTTCAAATATTTTCATTGTTTTCTTGCTGACAAACATGTTAAAATTAATATTGATAACACCATTGCTGTCTCCGTTATTAACAATAAAGCACAAGTCATAGTGGATCCTGTAATGATGCTGCCCGTAGCATTCGATATTTTGTGAACACAATAATATGTTGTTAACGGCAGCGTATATACCATGGACGCAGACATAAGTAAGTCGATAAAGAATCACAAAATAAAAATATTGACACTGAATGGATGCTTAATCCTACGTGTTGGTCAACAACTCTGACGCAACTTGCTTTCTTTCCTGACACTGATTTCATCTTCAAGTTGCTCGCTACGTTTCTTATAGACGACATCCCTACGCCGATGCTATTGATTCCTTTACTATAAACTGGAAAAATAGAGATTTCTATTGTATTCCCACATTAAGCTTTATACTGCAAGCCATCCGCAAGATAATTGAAGAGAAGGCCAGGGGAATTTTAGTTGTTCCGGACTGGCCAATTTAGAGTTGGTACCCATTTTTAGTACAAATATTGGAGAAACCGCCTTAACTTTTTTTCACTGGAAACCGACTTACTAATTCTGCCTTCTCATCCCAACTCGAGCTCTAATGATCGTTCAAAATATACTCTCACAAATCTTTTTTGAACGAATAAACAAGATGTCTTCGCCTTCGATATGTATATTTTACTGAAGTATGATTGACATGTTTTTCTTTTCTACTGTGCATTTATAATTATTAGTCTAATGTTTCTTACACTCCCCAGGGTTGACATAATAAAATGTTGTCAACAAACAAAACAAAAAAAAAACAAAACTATTTTTAGCTAAGAATGTACAGTTGCTTAGAACTTGTTTGTATTCTGCAATCTTCGCAATTTTCCTGTTATTCCCGCGCTGCGTTGTGGTCGATCAGTTGGACGGAGCACTAGTTCTCCTTCGCCATTCTTATCGCTCTCTACTCTTTCGTTACTGTCTTCTTCCCGATGAATCTCAATTGGAATAAGTTGCCTGATAGAACGTCGCAACAAGTGTGAATGACTAGAGTCTCCATGAAGGACTCTGACTTGTGCAGCTCGTGTAATTCCGTCGCCACCTTGTAACAATTGTTCAACTTTCTCCACCTTCCAAAAGATACGTTTTGTTTGATCGTTGCGAATAATGACGATATTTCTAACTGCTATTTCGAAATTTTTATTACCTCTTGATTTTGAAGTGTATTGCTCTCGTAAGGCTAAAACATACCCGTTTCTCCATTGAAGAGTAAAACGTTGCAGCAAATTTTTGTGATGTTTCGCCTTTCTCGTCAAAGAATGATAGGTGCTCTGAATTTCAAAGTGCTCACTGTTTGGCAAGGTCGTTATTTGTCTTCCATACACCAAGTGCGACGGGCTTAGCGGAAGAGATACAGCTTCTTCATCGTCGTACACGTAGGTTAGGGGTCATGCTTTTATTACGTCCTCGATTTCAACCACAATAGTATGCAACTCGTCGTAGGTTAGATTGGTTCTACCAACTACCTTTCGCTGCGGATGTTTCACGCTTCGAATCAAACGTTCCCAGAAGCCTCCCCACCAAGGGGCCTTTTCGACGATAAATTGCCATGTAATATGATGGTTTGCAAGATAGCGTAACAACTCCTCAGAACGACATAACTTGCAAATTTCTAAAAATGCACCTTGGAAAGTCTTAGCATTATCGGATATGAGAAGATATGGCAGTGCTCGTCGACTAGCGTATCTGCGGAACGCGCGGAGAAAGGCTGGAACGCTTAAGGAAGGAGTGAGCTCCAGATTAATGGCTCTAGTAGACGCACAAGTAAACAATAGAATATACAACTTTGTTGGATTATCCGACAAATTATTCCTTTCGCTACTCTCTCGTATGAACAACGGTCTGGCAAAGTCCAAACCTACGTTTGTGAAAGGGGGATCATCCGACACTCTGCTAACAGGAAGATCTGGAGGTAGCGTTCCCCCATAAGGAAGACCTTCGGCTTTACAAAAAACGAAACATTTCCTGACTATGTTCTTTACTGCTTCTCGACCACGGATTATCCAAAAATGCTCTCTAATGGTTGTTAGTGTATCACAAATCCCGCTGTGCTTCACATTGTGCTGAAACTCGCATATTAATAACTGCACAAATCTTGATTCCTTTGGAAGCAATACAGGAGTTCTGCTCTCCAGATCCAGCGATGAATTCTTCAGTCTCCCATGGCACCGCAGCACGTGATCACCGTCAAGAAATAGCCCAAATTGCTTAACATAAATGGGTATTGAAGAATTCACATTCTTTGACAGAAGGAATAATATTTCCTTTTCAAAGGATAGTTGTTGAATAGACCTTATCCATAGCAGCTGCACCTTCCTTATTTCGTCTGAGCTTAGTTCTTCTGAGGTTGTGAGTTTGTTTGTTGTTCGCTCGCACCGTGGCATCTTCTTTAACATGTTGATGAATCTCATTACATAAGCAGTTGTTCGAAGAAGTTTCTTCATGGAGCTATAACGAGTAATGTCGATTGCTTTGTTAAGATCTGGCATGGCTCGTTGTTTGATTTCATTCGAAACTAGTGATCTTACGACATTCGGATGCTCTTTCACAATTTCCCTCAGAATTCGTCACTTTGTGAGAGGTTGCCAACTGGACGTTTTGGCCACTATTCTTCGCCCCTTGCCAAGAATTTGGGTCCATTGAACCATAAGGAAGTATTCGAAAGTAGTTGCCCAGAAATATCTCGTGAGGGTAAATCTGCAGGATTAAGTGATCCAGGACAAAAGTTCCAAGATTCTGTCAACGAAATACTTCGAATCTTGTTCACTCGATGCTGCACGAATGGCTTCCATGCCTGATCGTTTCGTATCCAGTGAAGTGCTGTCATCGAATCAACTCGATAAAAAAACTTCCAGACTCCACTTGAGTGCCTTTAACAAAGACTCTACTAACTTCGCTAGTACAGTCGCTGCCACCAGCTCTAAACGGGGAATCGTTTGCTTTTTCACTGGTGCGACCTTTGTTATTGAAGTGATTAATTTCACGTCGATGGCACCATTCTCATAGACTGTTCTTACATAGACAACAACACTAATTGCACTTTTAGATGCATCACTGAATCCATGAACTTGTGTGGTAAAGTATTTCGTTTGGGGTATATAATAGCACCTCGATACACGAACATCATTTAGAAACTTTAACTCTGACATTAAAATGGTCCACTGTTCACGTAGATTGCCATGCAGTTCAAAGTCCCATCCCAGTCTATCCAAGTACATGATTTGAAACAGAATCTTGAGCCTTATCGTAAAAGGACACAAGAATCCAAGGGGATCGAAGATTTTAGATGACCATTTCAACAACGATCGCTTTGTGACAGGTAAAGAATTGGCGTACTCGATTATTTCAGTCAAATTGAATAGAAATGTGTCCTCCACCATATCCCACACCATTCCTAGTACCTTGACTTGAGTGGGTTCCGTGAGCCGGGACTCTTTTGCAATTGTCGACTTTGTAAAGGACTGATCATCTTGAGTAACACTTGACTTGTCACTAATCAAGCTAAAATTCTTGTTACCTTCTAACGCTTCAATAGACTTTACTACGTTACTGGAATTTGAGTTCCTTTTGCCAAGTTGAATCCACCCTTTGCCATCAACTGCTTTGTTCCCTTGTATATTTGCATGATGAAACTTCGAATGATGAAACTTCGAATAAAGTGTTTCTGTCTTCAGATGTCATTTTGAGTTGGAAAAAGCAGTGTGGGGTTTTTGAAGTTATTGATGAATGTCAAAAATTACTTTAAGCATAATTTTTGACGCATATGAAAATAAATATGTTGTTGTAATTTACCATTCTCTGGCTTTATTTAACTTTAAAACACAACTTAAAATACTACAAAACAATAATATGGCGGATTATATATAAGAATGAGTACCGCTGGTCTGAAGTACCGCAGATAGTGGCACAGGGGACCAATACCAATAAAACAATAATATAACATTCTCCCTCCCTTAAACAGAACTGATAATAACACTTATGAGTTCAAAGTTTAGAGTCTATTCGTCTTCAAAACCATAACGGGTTGGTGGTTTTACGACACGCACTGAGCGTCTCAGAGGGGTATGTTGCTGTCCCAATTCATTTCAAATACTCTCCTTCTCAACTGCTTGATGCTCAGCCGGAACATGTGCATGGTCCTTTCCCTCTGCAATGGGGGCACGGTGGCAGGGGTGGTGTGATTGTGATCTGGGGGCCATGGCGCCAGATCTCTCAGTGATACCGTTGATTATCTGCCGTCCAAATATTTAATATTGGCATAAGTAGGGTTAGCTTCCTTCAACTCTACCTGGTCAACAAGTGGATCATTCTTGCTTGTTCTCACATACCGGCGGAGCAGAACCGGTCCGGGGGACTGTAACCAGGTGGGAAGTGAAGTACCATGTGTCGAACGGCGTTGGAAGCCAAAAAACCTCTCATGTGGAGTTGAGTTGGTGGCAGTGGAGAGGAGAGACCTTGCTGAATGAAGCGCGTCAGGGAGTACCATTTCCCATTTACTGTCCGGCAGGCTTGCTGACTTGAGAGATAATCGAATAGCATTCCACACTATACCGTTGTAGCATTCTACTTGGCCATTGCCTATCGGGTGGTAGGGTGTAGTTCGGCTCGTGGCGATGCCTCTCTGAGAGAGGTATTCTTTAAGTTCCTGGGACATGAATGAGGCACCTCGGTCTGAATGGATAAAGCCTGGCGTCCCACACAGAGTGAATAACTGATCCAAGCATCTGATAACGGTTGATGAACTCATGTTTGGGCAGGCGAAAGCAAAAGGGAAGCGTGAATACTCATCCACGACTGTTAGCATATAGGGATAATTAATAGTCGTAGGTAGTGGACCTTTAAAGTCCACGCTGAGTCGCTCCATAGGTCGGGTAGCCTTGATGAGGACTCCTGGCTGTGGTTTGTAAAATTGGGGCTAGAGCTCAGCACAGACCCTACAACTAGAACACACCCTCTTAACTTCTTCTGTAGAGTAAGGGAGGTTTTTCGACCTTATGAAATGTAACATTCGAGTGACACCTGGGTGGCGTAGAGCAGCGTGTATCTCAGTAAGGCTAGCTGCAGGTATGGAAGCTGAGAAAGCCCGGGTAAATGAGTCGGGAGCAGCGTTATCCTTACCGGGCCGGTATTTTATGGTGTAGCTAAAAGAGGCCAGTTCTAGCCTCCAGTCCTGGATTTTATTGCTCTTTACTTTGGTGCATCTTCGGTTGTCAAACATGAAGGCGACTGACTGCTGATCGGTTTTGAGTGTAAAATGTCTATTTGCAAGAAAATGTTGCCACTTCCTGACAGCTTCAATTATGGCCATTGCTTCCTTCTCTACCGCAGGATAGTGGAGCTGACTCCCTTGGAGGGTCTTGGACATAAACGCGACAGGTCTGCCTCCTTGATTTATTGTAGCAGACAGGGCAGTTTCTGACGCATCAGTCTCTACAACGAAGGGAAGGCTCTCGTCAATAGAGTGTAAAGACGCTTTCTGCAGCTCCTCCTTCAGCATTGTGAATGCATTCAGGGCATCGCCATCAAGTGGAAATGAGGTTGCTTGTAGTAGCGGTTGTACTTTGTCAGAATAGTTTGGTATCCATTTTGCGTAGTATGCAAACATACCGATAACTCTTTTCAAGGATTTGGAATTTTCTGGAGGAGGGAAGCTTTTAAGTGGACGAAGCCTTTCCTGGTATGGGGAGATGACACCATTCGCTATACAGTTACTAAGTAGATTGAAAGCAGACTTGGACTCTACTGTCTTGTTTTCATTCAGAGTGAGGTTTCGGCGCTTTACAGCCTCTCTGAATTTCCTCACATTTTCGTCATGCCCGAACTGATCGTAGCCTGCAACAGTTATATTATCGAGGTAAGGAAATGTATTTTCAGGCCCTCCTCTTCTACGAACTTGTCCATCGCTCTTTGGAAAACTGCGACGCCGTTGGTTACTCCAAAGGGGATGCGACAGAACTGGTAAAGCTTACCATTGGCCTCGAAACCGGTAAATTTTCCGTCGGCTTTCTTGATCGGTACCTGGTGATAGGCACTCCTTAAGTCGAACTTTGAGAACACTCTATATGAAGCTAGGTTGTTGACCATGTTGTCGATACGGGGTAACGGGTATGCATCGAGTTCCGTGTAGAGGTTGACGGTTTGAGAATAATCAATGCAAAGCCGCTTCTTGTGTCGTTGTAGTGGGTCCTTTGATACGACGACTTGAGCCCTCCAGGGCGAGGTGCTAGGTTCGATTATGCCTTCAACGAGTAGGTGGTTAATTTCTTGTTTGATAAATTCCTGGTCCTCCCTGCTGAATTGCCGCGACTTGCTTGCGATAGGCTTACATTCGGGGAGGAGGTTCGCGAAGAGGGATGGTTCCTCAATAGATGCTGCTGCAAGAGCACATACAGGTACCCGTTGGGTACTTTATGTTCGGGCTTTTCCCCACCGAACTCAATGACAACACTTTTATGTTCCCTTTGAAAGTCCTGGCCAAGAATGATATCACTACAGAGATCCTTCAGTACCCCTAGACGTACAGATGAATAACACTGGTGGCCTAGTTCGATGTCAACAAAGCAATGGCCAAGAACTTTGGCTTTAAGTGATGTGAGAACCATAGACAAACTGTCATCTGACTTGAGTAATTTGAGGTTGAGCTGGTTAGCTACCTTGTCGTTGATGTAGCTATCTGAACTCCCAGAGTCAGCAAGGGCAGTAAGAACAGTACTGTTCACACTGACTTTGGTGGATGCTTGCATAAGGCTCTTTGGACAGGCGGCACTTATGGAGCAGAGTGAGGCAGATCTTATTGATGCTGTAGTGTTAGTCCCTTTTACAGCCTGAGACTGGCAAACTTTAGCGTAATGGCCAGTTTTACCACAATTGGTGCAGACACAACTGCGTGCAGGGCACTCCTTTCTATTGTGAATAGGGCCGCCACAGAAATAACACTTTCTTTGGGGTTTGACTGCTGCTGACACATGGTTATCACTTAGTAAAGGATCCTCACCACCACTTTCAGTAGAAATAGAAGCTGCCGAGTTTTCGGTTGGAGCATAGGCTTCAGACTTTTTCTGGGCTAAGTCTAACGCGTTGGCCTGACCAAACGCCGTCTTCAAGTCGAGTTGCCTGTTCTCCAGAAGTCGTTGGCGGATTAGTGGCGATAGAAGATCATTAATAAATGAGTCACGGACTAATTCCTCCCTATACTGTTTTGCAGTCACACTTCTGACGTTACAATCCTTGCTTAACCTTTTAAGTTCCTGTAAGAGCTCTGTAAGCGAATCACCAGGCTTTTGGCGCCTTGTAGCAAGTAGATGGTGCGCAAATATTTCATTCGGAGGCTTGATATAGAGATTATTTAGTGCTTCAATAGACGAGTCGAAGTCCTGACAATCTTCGATGTAATCGTAAACGCTGTGAGAGACATAATTGATGAGAGTACGGTGTTTGTTTGAGGCTTTATCGCCGCATTCTTGAATGAAATTGTTAAACGTTCGAAGACAATGTTTCCACTCTTTCGCGGCTGACGACGAATTTGGGTCCAAGTCGAGACGTTGCGGTTTCAATATCGTTTCCATATTGAGGAATTAAAATAAAGTTAAATAAATTGTTGTAATTTACCATTCTCTGGCTTTATTTAACTTTAAAACACAACTTAAAATACTACAAAACAATAATATGGCGGATTATATATAAGAATGAGTACCGCTGATCTGAAGTACCGCAGATAGTGGCACAGGAGACCAATACCAATAAAACAATAATATAACATATGTCTTGGAACAAAGATCTTTTATTGAAGCATTTATTAAAGTATTAAAAAAATATTTGGATGAAAATGATGATAATCATCAACATTTTGAACAAATGAAACTACTTATGAACAGTAATGATGAAAAAATATTTTTTTATTTAGCTGACTAGCTTCAACATGTGTGTATATATAACTTACCCTTTCCAAAAATCAGATTGATGGAAAAATGTTTAGTATACTGAAGCATCAATATATGTTTAATAATTGTATACACTCTAAAAAAATTGCCCTTTTTATTTTAAATGTTATGAAAGATTTTACACATGTCATCATTGTCATAATAAAGATCATTTTTGCAATAAAATAGTCAATCCAAAAGATATTTCCTGGATAATGTGTAATTATTGTGGATTTGAGCAAGGATTTCGACAGTATTGTATCAACTGTAAGAAAAAGTGGGCTGAATATTTTTGTAACGAATGTAAGGTTTACGATTATTATTCGAGAAATCCTTATCATGGTGTAAAATGTGGTATTTATAGAATTAACTTACATAGATTATTGCATTGTGATACATGTGGATTGTGTTTCAAAAAGAAAAAAGGAAAAAATCAATATCATATATGCAAAAAGATACTGTACACGATAAATGTATGATATGTTTGGAAGATACATTAACTGCATTTGGACTATTAAAATGTGGTCACAAATACATCTTGATTGTTTGAGACAATTTTCATTAAATGTGTTTTCTAACTGTCCGATATGTAGAGGTGAGTTATTAACACCAACTCTCATCCCATCAATTAAACGAGCATCTTTAAGAACCGTGTCTGGTACAATCTGATACTATCCTCATTAAAATACAAAAACATTAATTTTTGTTATATGAAGTATTATAAGAAGTATTATATGAAGTATATACAAATTGATATATATAAGAGAATTTTAAGACATTTTTCAAAAAAAATACTCCATTGTGTTGTTTAAATTAATTTCTTGGTTGTGTTCTTTTAATTGATCAAGTAACTTTTTTCTTCTCTCAAATAGATCAATTAAAAAATTTACTTCTTCCTCATTTTTACATATGATATTTCCTTTTATAAGTGAATAAAACTGTCTACTAACACAAATTTGTTCGGCGTTTAAATATAACATATAGCAAGAGTATTCAGGATATTGACCGATTTCGTTGTTGTATTCTTCAAGTTTAATTTTTTGGTTGGACGTCCTCCATTTTTTTACACTTTCAGTAACATCCATTAGCTGTCTTTTTTTCCTAGCCATTCATTAGTATTATGAGGAGGGTTTGTAAATACTTGATCGGGATGAGCAAATCCTTGATCTTGATTCACAGTATTATTATTAGGAGAAGTAGTAATTCCTTTATCTTGATTAAATTCAACGTCTTCAAGTTCTCTTAGTATAGTGCGCGGTCCGGGGATATTGAGTATTAAAAAAATATGTACTTGGTGACATAATACGTGTAATTGAGATTGGAGACTTGATATTCATAACAGTTGTATTTTTTTTTTGTAGGAGAATTTTTTTATGAATATACATTATTATTATGGGTAAAGGCAGTTATTTTTGAATATCATGATGATAAGTATTCAATCGAGTTTTACCATCACTTTTTTCTGTATCTTCATCCATGGGTTGTGGAGAATCTGGTGATGGTGATGCACGATTTTGATTTTCGATGCAGGTTCTCTCAGAATTTGTCTCAGTGTTTTTCTCAGTACTTATCCAATTCAGTATTGGTGTTTGTAGAGAAACATATTCATCATTCTCTTGAAATTGATTTTCTTCTTGAAAATGATTTTCGTCTTGAACTTGATTTCTTTTTGATTTTCTTTTCATATTTTTTCTTTATATTTATTTCTCTTTATAAACATTTCTAAAACGTTTTTTGTTTCTTATAAGAGAAAGTAAAATTTTTTTGTATAAATCGTTTGATTCCATTTTTCTTGATAATAAAGAAATTTTTAACGAGCACGCATACAACTCGAATTTAATATAAAAAATTGTATTTCCTTTCATTTCATCCATTTATGTTATGATTAACCCATGGTTGAACTTGCTACATACCCTTGGTTGTGTTTGGTACAATCTGATACTATTTTTGCTTAAATATTCAACAGATATTCAAGGTTTGAATGATGAATTGAAAGAGAAGCTAGCGCAAAATGAAACAAGTCATATTGAATATTTAAAAGATATTCAAGTTTTGCAAGATGAATGCGATTGTTTAAACAATTCGTTAACTGATTATGAAAAAATAAAAGAATATCCTCAAGTAAAGCTAATATTAGCACAAGCTAAGTTGGACGAAGAACTTCAAAATTGAAGTGAGTGTGATATCAAAAAACGATGACAGACGAATTAAAGGGTACTGAGACAAAGTGAAATATTATTCTGAATAAATTTAATATAGTTTGTGAAGTATTTTGTTTAAACGATAAAATGTAGTTGTTCTTCATTTTTGGTTATATCAACATCTAAAAAAATAAAATCTAAGTAATATTTACATTTATAATTACGTTTTCCTTTTTTCTTTTTTTTTTCTTGTTTTTGTTTTTTCTTTAGTTCATTTAATTTCATGTCGTGTTCCAATTGTCTTTGTCTTGATTTGCTGACTTCTTCAAATGTAATTGTTTCTTTATCAATCAAGTCTATCATTTCATCACAAACTTCTCTCGTTATGTGGTTGTATATTCTTTTTTTTTCTATTCTGTTGTTTAAGTTTTGCTTGACGTCTTCTGTATCGCAATATTTTTTCCTTTTGAAATTTTCCCATTTTTCTTTGTTTGCTTTCACTGTTTGTTTCTTACTGCTTTCGCGATAAGTGTGTGTTTGCAAGTGAAGTAGATGAAATAAATGCTTCAACTTTATAGATCAATTTTTTTGTGCAAATATAACCTTGTGACCCTACAAACATGCTGTTTTTGTGTTTACTTGTTTCACAATCATTAAAACTCGCGATTTTTGTCATAACACAAACCATCACACAAATGCCATTTTTTGTCATAACAGAAATGAGTATTAAATACATTAAAGTGATGAAAAAAAATTTTTCAATCTAAATTTTATTACAAAATTTATATTGTCGATTTTTTTGAAGTTAATAGTATCAGATTCCATTATCATCCATAAGTATTGAAGATAATTGCTTAATAGATTTGATGACAGCAAACGGATTTTGATTGAGTTACACAATTCTGTTTTGAATTAAAGTGTGATTCTATACAATAAAACTTGCAAATTTTGTCTTAATACAAATCGCATTGATGTTTAATCGAAAAAGTGTTTTTTTGAGTTATAGCACATTACAATATGGTAGCTGAGGGTTTGAGATGTGGTTTGTTTAACGTGGTGTATCACAATGACCTCGATACACGAAGGGAATTTTTTCTATAATATAATAGATGATAAGATGGCAAAATGTGAACATGACATCGCTATCCGCAAGGAATTATTAAAAGACATATTAAAGCTGGCACGCGCTGAACTAAAAAACAAAAATTACGATCAAGTTCAAGTTCATCAATATTTTCGTATGTGTAAAGGTTATATCAAACAAATCAAAGAATTGCGAAACAAATGCGAAAAACTGAAAAAGTTAATACAGTAAATGTTGGAATTTTACTAAATTTAATACAAATCTTATATTTCGATTTTGTTGAAGATAATCATTTAATAAATGTTATGACAGCAATGGAAGACAATTGTTTAACATATGTGATGACAGCAAACGGATTTTGTTTGACATATTATTAGTATTCTCTCGAATTTACACAGTTCTGTTTTGAATTTAAGTATGACTTTATATATTAAAACTTGCGGTTTTTGTCGTCACACAAACCGCGTTGATTACTAAATACATTAAAGAGGTGAAAACAATTTTTGTATCTTACTTTAATACAAAACGAAGATTTTCCATTCTGTTGAAGTCAGTGTCAGGTTGTACCACTCACAGATATTTAACTGATATTTAATTGATACGATGACAGCAAATGGGTTTCGTTTGAGTTATTCTTAGTGTTCTCGAATGTTCAAGGGCAACTAGCAAACAGAGACACAGTATATTGAGATGTAGATACGAACGTTCAAGGTGAAACGGAAACACATTGTATTTTGTTGTAACAAGAGTATTTAAGAAATCGTTGACCACTTGCTATTTGTTTCCAAATATTAGTTAGGAAAAACGTATACAGGTAAGAATTTATTACTATTCGTTTTTTATTCACGAGGTAAATTTTTTACTATCACCACTGCGTTAACGTTTCTCTAGTTACGCTAAAGGGTGTTTGTTTGTTTCCAAAGACTATTCCGAAGAATATTAAAGTGGTTATATCACGAATTTTAGCCCCCCTTTTTTATGAGCTTAATTAAAAATTTGGATTTTTTGAAGAACTATGACATGTCGCTGGACTTAAACAGATAAGTATAAGTTGCTTATTTTTGCCTCCAAAGTCGGGTACTATTTGCAAATTTTTTACGACGCCATATTGATACTTGTGACGTAGATAGTTGAACACGTCTGTTTCCGTCAATATAATATTATATTATAGGAGGTGATTTTGTTCTCGTTTTTCTTGTCTTAAAAACAAATAATGACAGTATTTTCAATAAAATATTAAAAAACAAGTTGTCCGGAAAGTATGGCCTCAAATCAATGCTCAGATAAGTCGAATTCGATGTCTGAATGCGTATGAGATTCGAGCTCGGAATCCGTGTGTTATGTCGAGCATTTAAACGTCTTCGCTTATGACGATGAACCGCTCGCAGGAGATGGTGATGAAGTGCATACTCCAGATGATCGCGATGGAATTCTCCCTGTGACCTTAGAACAACGAAGTGATGGCGTAATTCCACTCGGTGAATGGTAAGTTGTTGTTTTCTCCTGTTTGTAATATACATAAAGTTACTTTATAAACCACAATGCTCCCACGTTTCAGGTGTAATTGTCAATGCTGTCATACCGATTTGTTAGAAGGCGCATTAGAGTACAGATGCTGTAAGGAAATAGGACCAGCTTTGCAGAAAATGACATTCGATGGCAGCATTGAGAAAATATCATGCATAACACAGCATGCCAAATTTGGGCCTTTAGTTCATGAGGCTGTCCTTGAAAACGTCCGGCCACTATTGAGAGATAGGAATGGACGTGCTTATCGCCGCCAAGCATCACAATCATTAAATATGTAAGATTGTAAATTGTATGAGAAACAATGTTATCATCAACATTGTTTCATCAATAATAATTAGTCCAACCTTTTTGTTTACTTCAGGTACTTGAGAGCTGTGGCATACAGATGGTTGATGCGATGGTTTTGTGGGTCTATGGGATGGGAGAATACTCGGCCTTTACCTGCTTGTGTTTACCACTTTATTCGGAAAGCATATCCAAGTGGTAACACTAAAGGTTACATACCATCAGAGGGCGATGATGGAAAGGTCTTTTAACTTGTGCACTGTAGAGACTGTTGGCCTTCTTTGCTGAGTTTAGAATGGTTGGGAAATATGCCTAGATGAAAACCAAATAGGAGATATATGGATGCACTATATGGTAAAGAAAATCTTTTCTTCAATGTCAGTCTGGGAAAAAAGACAAAAGAAAAATTATATGGAATTAAATCATAGCATAAATGTAAAAATGGAAAATAGCAAGCCACATGAACTTATCTAATAAGGTCTTCACACTTGAGTGCACTGCATCCGCAAAGGGCATGTTGAGCATTAAACTACAATAAAAAAAAATTATTTGTCAAAATTAATTAGTTGCACAATCGAGTGAGATAGTCATCTTCAATCTGACAAGTATACATACCATTCAATGTTATATTAATACTGTAATCATCAGGAAAGGTGTGTATATCAGTGCCCAGATAGGGAGGCTAGAGGGTACTATCACTTGCCTAAGGTGAACCCTCAGGCTGGTGGTGGGAAGGAGGTGCCTTACTTCTCCATTCCAGACAGGCTCCAAGCAATGTCTGACCACTGCCCTATCATCTACCAACTTCAATTTATTCTTTTTCAGTGGAGCATTGACCTCGAGGATGTCCTTTCATTGGAGCTTTGCATTTAGTACATTTTTATACCAGCTTATAGTCTTTTGTAAAGATGTAAGTTTTTTCTTAAGACGATGGCACGATTTACATGGAGACTGGGATTCACAAATATCTTCACCAACTGCATGTAGTTCTTCTTCAAATGGCGAATCGTTTGCTTCCCCAGTGCATACTTCAACATGCTCGGCTCCATCACTAGTAGATGGTACTTCCCGAACGAGAGAACATGTTTCCTTCAGCGATGGCTTATGGAGAGCATGTCGAATAATCTACAAAACTTATATCGAATTTATATGACAAAAGAAAAATTAACATAAACAAACGTAAACTTACTTGTCTGCGCTTTCGATCGGTTATTTCGTCCTGTAATGGTTCAGGAATCCCAGCCACGTCAATGGTTGGGATAGCATCTTTCTTCAACCTTCTTTTGTGCTTGACTTGCACGCTCAAATTAAGGTCAAAACAAGAATCTTCAAAATGCGCAGAACACAGACACGAGGTAAAGCAAGCCTCAAAACCCGGTCTATGTTTACGCACAAAATTTACCCGTTTTCTATGTCTTTGCGGCTCTGTTTCTTTTTTAGGAAACAGATGCATCGACATTCCTTCTGTTTTTGAATCATTGGCGCAATTAATTTGATTAGGTCCGCCAGCAACACAGAGTTTTCCTCCGCGTTTCTTATTAAGATTACTAGTAGAATACGCCATGTTGATATATGTGTTCAACTTTCTACGTCACAAGTCATTAGCATACCAATCAAAAAGTTCGCAAAAAAAATGCTGAAAATCGTGACTTTGAACGTCCGTAAAATCACTTTCACCAATCCAATTTCAATTATAATTGCAGATTTAAAATCACTGAAACAAGGTCTTTCGATTTAGCTAATAAAAAAGCGGGGCTAAAATTCGTGATATAACCACTTTAAGGAAAAACGTATACAGGTAAGAATTTAATAAAATTTGTATTTTATTTACGAAGTATGTTTTTAAATATGTTAGAAAATTGATTGCAAATTATTTCATGGGAATAATTATATATGATCACACGGTATAGCAAACGATTAATGGTTCATTTGAAAGAGTATTTGTATCATACCGATGAAAATTTTTTTGGAGGTTGGGAATTTATTATAAAATTTTCTTGTAAAGACGTATATCAATTACCCGCAGAATTTTTAATATGGAAGCAAAAACAATTTATTATAAAAGTTAGACAATATGAAAAGAATTTCTGTGATATTAAAGATCTTAAAAAAGTGCTAAATATTTTTATTTGCATAATCCAAAAAATCAGAGTATGGGTTTTAAAAAAGTATAAGATATTTTTATGTTAATTTTTTTAGTAGGAAAAAATCATGATCTATTTCGAAAAAAATAGAGTTATGAACATATTTAAAGAACACTGCGAAAGTAATTTTCAGAACTGCCAAATGTGCAATTATTGTGTAAGGCTCAATTTGACCTTAGCAAAATTAATACTTGATTATATCGTAACTGATTTTTTTCATTTTATTCGTGGAAAGATACAAAGAAAAGATTATTTTCAAATTAAAAACAAATTTCTATTACAAATATTGCAAAAAGGAAATATGGATTTTACTTTATTAAACCCCGACGGATTGCTGGATAAAGTTTATACGCATTTAAAAAAAGATGGTAATGATGACAGTGATGAAGATGAAGGAGAATATGACAATGATATAATTTATTTTAATAAAAAGAAAGGTCAGAAACGAAAATTATTATCTCACCAAAACCTATGAAGCCAATTGAAATAAATTAATGACTTTTTTTTAGTAATTTTTTTGAAATTAATTAATGGAAAAACACTATATCAAAACTCATGTGCTAATATAGGACTTGATGGTTATATTTTTTGTCGTGTGGACATATTGGTGGTCATAGTTGTAATTTTCATTATAGTCAATACAAACCAAGAGTTGGTATTAACTCTAAATATTCAATGTATATAAATGAATATGCTAGTAAAATTAAAAAAGTACACAACGCATTTCTCAACGAAATAAAAGACAGCACCACAGATACTTATCGCTGCCGACAAAACAAAAAACTTCTAAAAACTAAACAAGCGAGCATACAACGACCTCCTACAACAAAATATCACGAAATCATACAAGAAAATAAACGTCGACGCAATACAAGCCATTCACACCGAAGACAAAAATATCACATCACAACTGGTTATACCTGACAGAGTAGACTCCACCGCTAACAAAGACGCATGCATAACACTCAAAGATTACAAACCGAACTTTGCAAATAAACCCACCTGCCGACTAATAAGCCCGAAGAAATCTAAAATTGGAAAAATTAGCAAAAAAATAATTGACAGAATAAACAACGATATCATAAAAGCCACTTCGCTGAACCAATGGAAAAACTCGTCATCTGTCATCAAGTGGTTCAACTCCATCAAACACAAACAAAATCTCAACTTCATATCTTTCGACATTGTAGACTTCTACCCGTTTATCAACCAAGACCTCTTCAACAAAGCACTTGATTTCGCCTCAACCCACGACAACATCACAAACCAAGAAAGAAACATTATCATACATGCAAAGAATTCATATCTCATTCACAACGAACAACCCTGGCAAAGAAATACAACTCCACATTCGACGCAACAATGGGCAGCTTCGACGGCGCTGAGACATGCGAACTTGTAGGAAGCTATCTCCTCTCACAACTACAACACATCATCACTAACATAGGACTCTATCGCGACGACGGACTAGCCATTACTAAAGCAACACCTAAAGAAACAGAAAAAATTAAAAAAGAGATATGCCGCGTATTTAACAACAACGGATTGCGTACCACTATCGAAGCTAACAAAAAAGTCATCAACTTCGTGACATCACGTTCAATCTAAAGAGTTCTTCCCATCGACCTTACACTAAGCCCAACACCTCTTTGCAATACATACACCACGAAAGCAACCCTCCTCCAAGCATTACAAATAACATACCCGATACCATTAACAAACGCATTTCATCTTTATCATCCGACGGAGCATCATTCGACCAAGCAATTCCTCCATAACAAAAAGCACTTGACGAAAAGGATATCATTACACACTAAATATGACCCGAACGCTACTACGAAACGGAAAAACAGACTTAGAAATAACATACTTTGGTACTGTGACATTGCATGCCTAATTATATTTATATGCTGTAATGACGTAGGTAATTCCTTATTTAATATGCATTAGTAATGTATATAACAACCTGTACTTATGTAAGTTGGAGGATTAAAATACAACACTTATTACATGGTGGCAGTGATTAGGAAAAGTTGGTTCTTATCGAATGGCAGAAGGATTTTCCAGGCCAACACGACTCTCCTTTGAAGGCAACGTTGCTGAGAATTGGCGCCGCATCAAACAGAACTATGAAATATACATTGTTGCTGCAGGACATAGTCGGAAATCAAAGAAAGAAAAGTCATGCATCCTCTTAAATCTAGCTGGCAAAGATGTGGTTGAAAGATATAATTCTTTTACCTACAACGAAGAGGAAGACAAAGACGATCCAGAAATTCTAGTGAAGAAATTTGAAGAAATTTGTATGCCGCTTAATAATTTAACATTCGAAAGACTTTTATTTCTTACAAGTTAGCAAAGTCCGTCAGAGTCGATTAGTTCCTTTATTACAGATTTGAAAAACATTGCTCGAAAGTGCGACTTTGGTGACCTCGAGAGCGAACTTATTAAAGATCGTATTGTGTGTGGGATTAACAGTGATGCATTAAGAAAGATTCTCCTTCGCGAAACAAGTTTAACATTAGACAAGGCTCTAAACATATGCTGTGCAAACGAATTGTCGGAACAACAAGTAAAAGATCTTACTAATTATCAAGATGTCGGTGAACTGAAGGCTAGGAAGAATTCGAAAACCTCAAGAGGAAGTTACACAAACTTAAGTCAAACAAAAGAAGATAAACATCTAGGACAAAGATTCGTATTAAAGAACAATTGCAGAAACTGTGGAGGAAAACATCTTCCAAAGCAATGCCCAGCTTTTGGAAATTTTGGGCACAAATGTCATAACAAAAACCACTTTGCTCGTGTGTGTATAATGTCTACACAAAAGTCACAAAGAACAGTTCATGAAGTTAGTGGTGAAAAATTGTTTATTGGTGCTGTTAATGCAATCACAACAACGCAACAACGCATAAGCTGCAAAGTCGATTATCGAATGAATATTGGAGCTGTAGAAAAAAGCAATGACGAGTGGTATTCTGAACTCAAGTTTGGCAGACATTTGGTGAACGTGAAGGTGGATACAGGTGCAAAATGTAATGTAATTTCTAAAAAATTGTTCGACAAAGTCACAGAAGCTGAGCAACAAGTTACCAAAACAAATACAAAGCTAATGTCGTATAGTGGAGATTCAGTTCAAACCTTGGGACAAGCAGTGATGACGTGTTCTTACAAAGACAAACCATACAATCTTCTTTTCTATATAGGACACAGGATGTAAAGCCCATTCTTGGTTTACCTGATTGCGAGCGTTTGGGTATGGTGAAAATAATTATAGATGTCAAACCTATTTTCACTTGCGACGATATTTTCAATGAATGTGCAGATCTCTTCGATGGCAAACTAGGATGTTTACCCATTAAGCATCATATTTGTGTCAATCCAAATGTAAAACCTACAATTCATATTCCTCGACGCGTTCCAGTAGCTATGAGAACGAAAATTAAAGAAGAGTTAGAACGAATGCAACAGATGGGTGTCATCGATCCTGTAGAAAAACCAACGGAATGGGTTTCGTCAATGGTAACAGTGGAAAAACCAAACAAGTTACGAATATGTATTGATCCTAGACATCTTAATGAAGCCATTCAGCGAGAACATTACCCTCTCTTAACAATAGAAGAAGTCGTATCAAGACTACCTGGAGCTAAAACTTTCTCCGCATTCGATGCAGCCTCTGGATTTTGGCAGATACCTCTAGATGAAGATTCCAGTTATCATACAACATTCAATACGCCTTTTGTCAGATACAAATTCAATCGTCTCCCATTTGGTATATCCCCAGCACCTGAAGTGTTCCAAAAAGCTATGCACCAGCTGTTTGACAGAATAGACGGTTGTGAAATTATAATGGACGATATCTTAATATGGGGAACAACAGAGAAAAGCATGATGAAAGAATTGTCAATGTGCTGAATAGAGCTCGTGAAATCAATCTCAAATTAAAGAAAGAAAAAACAAAAGTTAATGTAACAAGTGTAGATTACATGGGACACAAAATAACGTCAGATAGTCTTCAATCCGATCCTGAAAAGATTAAAGCAATATTAAACATGCCAATTCCTAAAGATAAGAAAGATCTTCAAAGATCTCTTGGAATGGTTCAATATTTGGCCAAGTTTTTTCCTTATCTTTCAGAAATGGCAAGTCCCTTAGAGATATGTTAAAGAAGGAAAATGATTGGTGCTGGTTAGATTAACAACAAATAGTGTATGACAGAATCAAGAAATCCTGTGGAGAGCATCCAGTATTGCAATTCTACGATGTATCAAAAGATGTGACATTGTCCGTAGATGCAAGTATGTCAGGTTTAGGAGCAGTTTGTCTTCAAAATGGCAAACGAGTTGCTTATGCGTCGAGAGCTTTAACTGAATGCCAAAAGAAATATGCACAAATTGAAAAAGAGTTAATTGCAATTGTATTTGGATGTGAAAAATTTCATGATTACATCTATGGCAGAGATGTCAATGTTGAAACAGATCATAAGCCCTTAGAGCAGATTTTCAAGAAACCCCTTCATCAATCTCCATTGAGACTCCAGAAAATGTTGCTGAAACTTCAAAAGTACAGTTTGAAAGTCTCGTTTAAGAAAGGAGCAGAACTTTATCTCGCGTACCAATTAAGTCGAGCGTATATCCAAGAAGAATCAGATGATCACTTAGAAGATTTTGAGATAAATGTTTTCTTGCCAGTAAGTGAAGAGAAAATGAACCAATTGAAGGAAGAGACAAAGAAAGATAAAGTAATGAAAATGTTACGACAGTACGTAAAAAATGGATGGCCAGATCTACGCAGTAAAGTCGATTTTGATGTTTTCAATTACTGGGAGTTTAGAGAAACTCTTTCAGTACAAGATGACCTACTGTTTAAAGGAGATCGAGTAATAATTCCGGAGTCATTAAGAACTGATATGTTGAAAGCTATACATCAAGGACATTTGGATCTGAATCATGCAAACGTAGGGCTCGAGAGTGTTTATATTGGCCAAAGATGAGCTTAGAAATAGAAGCAGAAGTTAGAAAGTGTGAAATCTGCAATGCCCATAAGAGTCATCAACAAAAGGATCCTCTACAATCACATACTGTACCACATCGACCGTGGAGTAAAGTTGGAGCAGACCTGTTTGAATTGTATGGTAGAGGCTATCTTCTTATGGTAGATTACTACAGTGGATTCTTTGAAATTGATTACTTGTTAAATACAACATCAAAGACAGTTATCACAAAGATGAAATCTCAAATTGCGAGATACGGAATTTTCGAAGATCTTATAACAGATAATGGTCCACAATTCAGGAGTAAAGAATTTCGTGCCTTCTCGTTACAGTATGGATTTAGACATACAACAAGTTCACCAGGATATCCAAAAAGTAACGGCATGTCAGAACGTGCTGTACATACAGCAAAAGCAATCATAAAGAAAGCAAAATATGATAACACCGATCCTTATTTAGGACTCCTTAATTACAGAAATACACCTAAAGATGAAATTGTTGGCAGTCCAGCTCAAGGACTAATGGGACGAAGAACTAGGACATTACTACCAATATCAGAGAAGTTACTTGAATTTCAACCATTAAACCCTGTTAATGTTCAAAAAAAATTAAAAATGTATCACAAGAAACAAAAAGAGATTTACGACCGCAATGCAAAAACACTTCCGCCATTAAAAGAAGGAGATACGGTACGTATAAAAACAGAAAAAGGCTTCCAAAAGAAAGGAATCGTGGAAAAATCGTTACTTGAGCCAAGATCTTATTTGGTTACGTCTGATGGTACCTGCTATAGAAAGAATAGAAATCATTTATTAAAGATTAATGAAGAATCGAGAAGTCAAGATACAGATAAGTCTCATAGTGAGAACAATAGATCTTATAAAAATTGTAATGAAAGTACTAACAACAGTAATATACGAACTCGGTATGGACGTCCAATCAAAAAACCTACTACATATTTTTATTAGATAAAAATAACTTAAAAAACATTTATAGTGTGAAATTATTTAAAAAAACCGAAGAAAAAGAGATGTGACATTGCATGCCTAATTATATTTATATGCTGTAATGAGGTAGGTAATTCCTTATTTAATATGCATGAGTAATGTATATAAGAACCTATACTTATGTAAGTTTTAGGATTAAAATACAAGACTTATTACAGTTACAACCCACCATACAGCAAAAACGTCAACACAAACATCGGCTACAAATTCATTTCACTAATTGACAAGCACTTTCGCATAGACCACAAACTCAGAAAACTATTTAACCGCAACACAATTAAATTAAGTTACAGCTGCATTAACAATATGGAACATATTATTAATAACCATAACAAACGCATATTGAGAGAACCTGACAATACTAATGACACCACCAATGACAAAAACGCACAAACTAAAACATGCAACTGCCGACAAAAAAAAACTGCCCACTTAACGGAAACTGCCTACAATCATCTGTCATCTACCAAGCAACTGTTAAACGTTTGGACACTAACAAAACTGAGACCTACATCGGACTTTGTCCTATTATATAGTAAGATAAAAAAATGGTATCTATCTTCATCCATCTTGAGATTATATAGTCTATATTTTTGTCCAATTATATAGTAAGATAAAAAAATGGTATCTATCTTCATCCATCTTGAGATTAAAGTTCAAGTATGTTCAGGTAGGTTGCATCTATGGAAGAGCTCGAAAAATTAGTCCAAGAGTTTGTAAAAAACCGCGCGGAACTCAAGCGGAACCAAGTCGATTTCAAAGTCTCTCGACAGCACGAAGGAGAATTCTTTGAAAGGGCGTCTTAACGAATTGTTAATGGTGAAAAATGTGCAGCAGAAGCTATTAACAAAAAAACAAGACCAAGAAATTGAAGGGTTGCAAGAAGTCACTCAAGCGGTTGAGAACACTCAAGAGCAGCTTGTCCAACGGCTAAATAATCTAGTCCTGTTAACAAAAGACAAACCATTTTGAAAGGTTATAGAGAATTCAACGACGCTTGATCGGTTGGAGGCTGGTGAGTATATGAACGACGTAGATTTTGAAAATCTTGGAAAATCTATCGGCTCGTCTATAAGAAGAACCGCTTCTCCAGCTAACCGAGAGCAAGGTAAAAAAAAACTTCGAACGTTACAAGGTTCTAAAAGAAAAAACAAGTCGCCCCAAACAACTCTTTAAAATAACAGGAACTGGAGTGCACTATTATAATAGCCCATCAGAGCTTATCGACCGCCTTCTCCTTTCCTGCAAGCCTGTAGAGGCTGGTAATGACTCTCGTGTGTTGAAAAACGATATTAAAGCAATCCTAACAAAACTGCTAGACGAAAGTGCAATATCGAAAAGTTATTACCGAAAAATCAGAAATAAATACATGCGTTAAAATTTCTCTTTGTATATTATACAGAGCTATTGCTTAGTGTTATCAATATAACCATAATGGCTGGAGTATTAGAAGACGAAATCAGCATTGAGATAGACTCAACAAGAGCCATTGCGGCGGACGGTGGAGAAGCGAATGACTTTCAAATTGGCTTTAGGCCACCTATACCTTTAGAGGCTAACAAAAAATATCAAGTGGCTCTTACTGAAGCTGGTTTGTGGAATTCGTGGGAAAATGTCACTACGAAAAACAATCAACTAGTGATTGAGATTAGAAGAGGAAACTATGGTGATACTGATGGTGCACAGAGAGGAAAAAAATCGCAATACACCCAGGCGCTTACAACATTCCCGACATCGATCAAGCTATTGAAGATGCTATGGAATAATTGGGGGTAAAGTTCGAACATGAAGATGAGATCGCGAGACGTGATCCACCATTTGCGCTTTCAGTAAATATTCCTACATCAAAATCTGCGATTACTATTAAAGGTGACCTTGTAGTTTCGTTTGACACAGATAACAGCATAGGCCCTATTCTTGGGTTTGCTGTGGGTGGAGGTAATATTACTAGAGGAAAGACTTTAAGCCAGAATCGAATTAACATTACAGATGTACAGAAGATCCATATTCACTGCTCGCTTGTTAATTCAAGTGTAGTAAACGGAAATCCTAGTGATGTTATTAAATCGCTTACTCCAAGCAAGGACCAGGTCGTTTGTTGGAAATAAGTCCTAGTCCACCGACCTACTTACTGCCCCTAAAAACTAGCCTTATTACTAAAGTGAGAATGGAAATCACTGATCAGTCAGGAAAAAAAATTGATTTAAATGGTGAGCAAGTAACTTACACTTTAAACATCCGTCCTTAAATGTGATTATACACGCTCATAAGCGCATTTCGATTCAGAAGATGTTGCCATAATGGCTTATTTTTCCATATATATAATATACTAGTCAAAATGTTAGTTCTTATGATTAGACGTTGTATAGTTAGTGAAAAAATTAGATCTCGCGTAGGCAAGTTTGCTCCAAAAATCAAGAATGTGGCCGTGGCGGCTGGTAAAAAAGCGTGAGTGACACGACTACAGCAGCCAAAGAGGCTGCTATATCGACTGCAAAAGAGCTGTTTTCGCCTGAAAACGTAAGCAGTCTCGTTGCTGATCTCGCCCGAGGAGACGTTAAAGGAGTGGCAACAAAGCTAAATCACGTGCATCTGCAGTGGCTCGTGCTGGGGCTGAAGCTGGTATTAGTACTGCAAAAACGTGCGCAGAAAATGCTCGCACTGCTTTAACGAAAGAAGCTAGAGCTAAACTTAAAGGGGAACTCCATCGAAAAATAATGTTGGTCTTAAAACTTTGTCTGTCCGGTGAAAGTAAATATGCGGCAATTTTTTTGTTTGTTTGATTCAATATTTTCACAAAAAATGAGTTGAAATGCTGCAGCTAGGGCCTCCGGTGCGTGCGAGCAGAAATATGTCAGCGGCTTGTATTGACGTCATATCGTCAATTGCTCCTCAAAGCTTTATGTAAATTCATTGCACAGTCATAATAAACTTGCGTCAAAATGCTTCTCCTAATCACAAAATGTTTCTTTTCGAAACGTCAGAATTTTTTATTCGTAGGTATATACACAAGCAACTTTTATAGCTTACATGCAAGTATTGAGCTGGTTATTTGTATTCTGTTTTAATAGAACGGTTTCACATCCATAAAGGCCATTATCGCACAGTTTCCGTACTACATATAGAACTTGAATGTCGATTAATATTATTTTTTCAAAAATACGAAGGTTTCTTTGTGTGGAAACTGTGCGTAATGCCGTTTGCTTGTCCTCCGAATTCAACCTTAACAACAGTTTCCACTGATGTGAAACCAATCTATTGCCCTTAATAAACATTGAATAATAATAAACATGGTTGTGTAACTCATTACGGTTAGAAAATAATCCTACATAAAACCATTGTAAAAATAGCCAGTGCTATGAAAAACAAACACCCTCATATTGATCACCAATATGATGTGTGGCCTTTGTCCAAATCTGTCACAAAAAAACTAAAAATGAAGGCTAACATTAAGGGAAATGATGACTTGACCCATTGGATTAAGTCCATTTCTAATCATATTTGGTGGTGCTCTGCAAGTTGTAACAAGAATGCAGAAGAATTGTTGGAAAAATGGAAGTCTGTCCTTAACCACATTTCCAACAAGCATTTCTGGAAGGGGAACACATATTTTCATCAATGTTGCCACCAACAATTAACAGAAAAAGAAACAAAGCAGAAGAAGTGGTTATCTCCTACTTCACAAGCATATATTGCTGCAGAGAAGGTGATATGTGACAAGAGGCTTCTAAAAGACCTGCGGAAGCTATCTGAGTTTTGTCACACAGGAGAGTTGGAGGTTTACCATTCCCTTTTACTGAAATATTGCCCAAAGCGAGAGCATTTTTATTTCCTGGGATGGTAGCCCGCACTCAGTTAGCAGCATTAGATCACAACAACAATATTAAACGTGATAAAGCAGTCATTAAGTCAGGGACAAACAAAGGGCAAGACCGTTACAAAATGATTTTTGCTAAAACACAGAAGCAATGGGTTGTAAAAGCAATGAAAGAAAGGAAAGAGTACCTGTACATTGATAAATTACTTGCGGAGGTTGTGAATGCATGCAAAACTGAGGAGATTGAACTTGTACATCATGGCGAGAATCTTCCAAAGAACATTTCTAAATCAAGTCCACCCAGGAAAGAAGTACTTGTAAAGGAACATCAGTGTAGATTTGCATAAAATGTCAGTGGTGATGTTAGCTATGGCAATAGGTTTTGCCATACCCATATAATATGACGTTGAATCAGTGAAGACAACTTTTGTACTACTTAAAAAATGTTCATTCTTAAATATTAACAAAACAAAACCTTTTGCTATAGTTAGTTTAACCACTGCATTACACAATTATATTATAACCAGTGTAATAGCCAAGCCACATTTATAATCATTTCTTTGAAATCATTTCTGTTTTTTTTTTGTAATAAATTAATAATAATAAATGTGCATAGCATGACCTATAAATGAGCTGGCTATGCCACTTTAATATTGACATACAAAGTAATTGTAATGGGTATACCTATATCATAATAAAATACTTCATTCATCAACATAGTGAAAGCCTTCAAATTGAAATTCCTCTGCAAGGCCAGGTGGAGGAAATGTTTCTCTAAAGCGAGTAACTGCACATGATGGCAAGATGACTCTCACTTCTCTACCCAAGACACCCCAGCACCATCTTGCCAACTGTGTATATGCAATATGGCGGTACAGTTTGTCTTCGGGCCCATCATATGCTACCTCATATTGCTGCTTGTACTGGTACCAAGCTGTTTGTAAAACCCACCTGTTAAGACAAACAGGCTCAAAACCAGGATGTTGTGTAATGCACAACGGGACTTCGGTGGTCTCATTCGTTTCTACTGCCTCTAAATTTTTGTCACAAATATTGGAAATCTCTTTGCAGCATAAACATTCCTCGTTATTATCCATTATTTGGCAGTTACCACATTGACACCTGAAAATGTTAAAAGAAAGGATCTTGAAAAGTAAATGTCGAAACTTCAATACAAATTGTATCTTAAAATAAAAACTTTGAAATCTAAAGTATTATGTGTGTGTGGACGTGGTCAACTTCAAAAACTGAAAACGTACTTTTGAGATAGAAACAATGGTCTCGAATAATATAACATTTTACTACCCACCATACAAGATTGTCGCGCCGAGATTCATCGTCAATATACAAAAATTCCTGTTCTTCGTTATCCTCAAACTGGTGAGCTTCTTGGTGTTCATCAGCCGGCCATTCGGGCTCAAACTGATATGGCCCAATATTGTTTGTTGGATTGTCTTCCATTTCACTATCGATTGGTGAATTAGGCGGAGGTTCTTCCAAAAAAGCCATTATAAGCGATTGTTTTGTTTTTGTGCTAAGCTGTGCGTTATTATTTTACTTTGTTGTAAACTCAACTCCAAATCGGTTTGACAATATGACGTCAAAATAATTTCCGCTGACACTTTCTGTGCCCACGCTGCTAAGCCTCAAAAAAGCTCAAATAGCGCACTTGAAGACGCGATTTTGTCAATAATAAAATAGCTGATGTAAAAATTTCAAAATATAGTGACCTTTGCATAAAAATGGAACTTTTAAGACCAACATTATTTTTGGGTGGATTTCCCCTTTAATGAGCTGGTTGGGACTTGTGGAGCTAGAAATGCTCTAGTATCGCGCGCTGAAAGCCTTGCTAAGCAACAGCTGACTTCTCGAGACTTAGGTATTGTAAGCAACCTCGTGTCAGGTAACGGCATGATGTATGCCTAAATATCACATCGGTCTGATGATCGGAAGACGCAAATGTTTTATAAAATATATATACTGTACGAAGTACAAACTGTCATAACAATGGCTACGGACATGATATTCCCAGCACTTCGACTCTTTGACGAGCCCATCGTTGACCGCTCTGTTGAGCATCTGCAGTTCGAAAGAGTTCTTCCCCTCGATCCAAACTTCGATAATAAGAATATCAATATCGACACTGAGAATGTTAACCAGCTTATATGGCTTCACAGAGCCCTTCTTGAAGTTCGAGGTTGCAAAATAAAGAACGATGGCACTAATTATGATGCCTTCGACAATGTCGCTCTGGCAACTGGTGGCTGGGGCCTGTTTGAGACGGTCCAGATCCAGGTTAACAACAAGACCGTTGAAGAAATAAGTCAGTATGCTTCAACTGACAACACGATCATGCGGTATGTAACTGATATTGGATGATTCGTCCAGGAGCACCCCACGAGTGCTTTCTGGTACCGCAAGACTGGAACTGGTGCACCTAATCCGAATAAGTTTGTGAACAGACCTACCGCTCAGTTGCTTCCTGCTGCTAATGTAGGTGACTGTATTGCTTTAAATTGCGGCAACTTCCGGACTCACTTTAACTTAAACCTCAACGCAACAGAGAACCATAACTTCAACATTGGTTTCGCCAGTCGCCGCCAGCTCTGCGCGGGTGCCAAAGACGTTACCATGATGCTTCCCCTCGCTGAAATCCTAGGCTTTGCCAAAGACATTGATTCAGCTTTCATAGGTATAAAGTTCAATCTGAATCTCACTCGCACTTCTGGTGAAAAATAGCTTCATAGAGCAAATGGGGTAGATGCCTGAAAATGTAAGATAAAACATCTTTCGCTCTGCGTTCCTTTCATCAGTCTTTCGATCGAAGTTCAAACCATGATAGAAAGCAAGTGGGTTGCTGGTTACACACGCATGCTATACTTTGAGAAAGTTAGTATTTACCGAGAGAGATTCACCAGACGTCAAACCCAAATCTCGTGGCGTGTGACGACAAACGGAATTGAAGAGCTACCAACACACATCTTCGTAGCGTGAAAAGACGCAGAGCGCATAGACAATCAAGAACAAACTATACATGTGTTAAATAATGCTAATTTGCGTCAGATTAATGTGCGGATTAATAACAATCACAAGTATCCTGAAGAAGAGCTTCAAGTCAATTACACATTTGCTAAAGAAATTACTGCATGGCTTACATGATGTTCCAAGACGCTGCGATGAAATACAGCGACCCGGATACAGGCTCTCAACTAAACTTAGGAGACTTCGCAAACCTCTTTCCTATTAAAGACTTCGACGTTAGTCCTCATCCTGAAGCTTTGAAAAACGCTCATGCAAACATTGATGTTCGTTGGACCTTTTAATAGTGCTATTAATGCTGGTGGCAAACAGGCGTTCATGTGGTACACTGCTACGTGCTTAGCGAGCGTTTCTTTCGGCTCAATGTGATTAACGGTAAAATGAACATAATAAATAGTTTAGTCTGATGTGATGATTATTCTGATGTGATATTTCTGCGGTTTTGGGATAGGCCTGCGTTTTCGCGGTTGGAGATAAGCCTGCGCCTTCGCGGTTTGGGGATAGGCGGAGTGACATTTTGTGGCGTGGGCATTTGAAGAGCCTCAAGAGAGTCGTGCAGCGCGTCTCCGCTGATCGCACCTTGTTTATATAATTGTATAAGATCCTTAACAAGAACATCCATCTCAAGTGTTCCAAATTTTAGTGCTATGTTCTACGCGAGATAAATCTCTAAATCGAAATTAATTCAAAATGTGGAAGTTAATTCGGCGAGTACCATAGCAAATCTCTTTCGTGCTTATTTCTGTTTATAACGAGCTTATGATGCACCCTATCCTCACTGCAGGCTTGGCAAAGGTAAGTTTCTGCCCGTGTTCGGACGCCACACTTAAGACATGGTTGTGGAATTCGCCCGCACTCCATTAATCGCCTCATATGAAGTCAGCAGTTTTTACCTATGGAGCTTCGCCCACATGTGGTGAGCTTTCCGGGTAAAAACCACGCACAGCTCTTCTTTCCCTGCCTCATGCCTGTTAAACGTTTGGATATACTCTATGAGAGTATATCTCTCTAAATATTAGACCCCCGACGGCTGGGTGCGGTGGGTGGAACGGCCGTGTTTGGCTCCCGCCGTTGTCAGGGGCTTGGCCTTCGCTGTCTTGTGATTTTTGTGCCAATATATGTGCTTAATATGTGCTTACTATGTGTGCAAACTAAGGCTGGGTCGCTTATATTAGTGCATACTCCTACTCAAAATCTGAAGTGTGCTAGAACCGGTAGTCTCTATACTACTATTTGGTCAAATCGTTCAACTTTTTTCGCGATTTCTATTTAGTATTTGATGACCCACGGACGTCGTATTTTGTAACGGCAGAGATACAGGCTTTAGCTTTGTTTTTGACGTCATGCACGGAAGGCTGTGGTAAAGAATTCTTTGATGTTATTTGCGGTAGATAAAGTGAGATCAAACTTGACGGCTAACTCATATTTCTACACATTTTCAATGGAATTTTGTGATTGTCATATTCTTTATAAGTAATAAAAAGTTTCGCAAAGTTCTTAGACCGATGACTCAAACATTAACTTCATTTGGGAAATATTTAACAGACTGAAGACTGTTGGAATTATGATAGTTTGCAAGAAGGGATTTGCGTCAGCTTATGCGTCATTGATATATGTAAATTAACAAATAATTTAGTGAGCACATGGTCTTGTAGACACCGGGATTGCAAGTTTATCGTTTAATTTTACCCTTTTATAATTTTATCAGCAAGCGTGGACGTGTTATTGAAGCATGAACAATCGAAATATCTTTCTAACATTCTTTATCCATTAGACCAAAATTCCCCTCACACCATCAAAAACGCCACCACCTTCCTCGCCATCATTAGTGACTTTAGCAAAGACTACGAGTACGACTACGAGTACGAATTACGTCATTTTTGCGCAAAAACATTGCTGCGACAACAAAAACACTTAGCCGTCATTAATGTCAGTACGATGTTTTTTTAAAAAGTTCGCGACTACGATGTCTTTTTAAGCAGAGATATAGTATATTCTTTTATTGTGTAAGAAATTAGTTTAAAGTACTATTTTCGAGCATTCTGTCTAAAGAGTCATATATTCTCGCAAAAACTGTATTACTGATTAGTTGATACTATTAATGACGAATGAAGCCGTAGCTGCTGCATAAACATCGGAGTATTACACAATAAAAAGGCTTGTTCTGTTTATAACTAAAACTAAATTTTGACGAAAATGAAAACAATCTTCCTCGTGGCATTCCCTTACACGGCACAATTTCGTACTCGTTCTCGTAGTCAAACTCATGCTAAAGCTCTCTATTGACGCCATTAAACAAAGACCAGACGAAACCATGATACCCAAACACGTTACATCACTCTTTACATCCATGGCACTAGACATAGCCAAACAAATTAAAAACAAACTACTAACAAACGACAAAACTTGGCAAGCTACAACACAACTAGACAAAAATGACAAGCTAGACTTACTCAACCTTTGCCTCTCTACTGGATTCTCCTTCCAAAACTCATTCTATAGACAAATTTCAGACACATCAATGGGGTCATCACTGTCCACCTTTCTCGTAGAAGCCGGTCATGCAACACCTCGAAACACAATCTGTCACAAGCAACACACACATTGGACTATGGAAAAGATATGTCGACGACATCTTTGCCATAGTCAAGAAAGACAAAACTGAACAAATCCTACCCACCATAAACAGTACCACAAAAAACATAACCTTCATTACAGACAAAGAGCACGACCAACAACTTACTTTCTTCAACACCCTACTGACCAAAACACATGACGGTATACTAAACACACAAGTTTACCGTAAAACTACTCACGAAGACCAGATAGTTGATTTCAACAGAAATCACCCAACACAACACAAAATAAGCTGCACACGAACATTTTTTAACAGAAGCAACACCCATTGTAACACCGAAGAAGCCAAGAAAACAGAACGCAACTAATTATCTCCCACATTTCTTAAAAACAATTACCCTAGAAACTTCAAAAACAGAACTCTTAACAAAATAGAAAACAAAACACAAACCGACAAAAGTAACAAAAAACCCGAAGAAACAGTAAATACCATCACATTACCATATGAAACTGAACATCAGAAATAACTGCCAGACTTCTTCAACCATTCAATATTGACGTCGTTTACAAACCTACACGATAACTCAACTCATATTTCACCACAAATAAAGACAAAAATACCAATCCATGATACAATCGGTGCGATCTACATGATACCATGTAAAGACTGTTCAAATTATTACATAGGACAAACATCAAAGAAAATCAAAACAAGACTTACAGAACACAAAAACGCCATAGAACAACGAGACCCGAACTAACTACTGGCAGAACATACCCACGGAAACAACCACACATTCGACTGGACAGAAACTAAAGTACTCGGACGCGCACAGACTAAATACGCACGCGAATTTAAAGAAGCTTAGTACAGTAAAGACAACGACACAATA